TCACCCTTGCCTATAGGGATATATAGATCTGCTATTGCATGCTCTCTTTCTTTCCTCTCCAACTCTTCCCTACCCACAGACCCCATGCAGGGCTATGTAACTAATTAGTAAAATAAGTAAAAATGTATTAACCTTTATTAGGCTAATAATAGATAGCATTTGTATAGCGCATATCCCCGCTCAACAGCAGGCTCTAAGCGCTTTACACTATATTATTACCCCAGCAGACCATAGAACACTCCGAAACATTCTCAGCTTCCCGGGAAGGCTATCTTAAATTAAACTGCTTATGTTGTAAGCTAGATATCTAGATCAACGCATGTAGATCTAGATCTATTTAGGCTAAGGCAGGCATATTTTTATTATGCTGGAAATGGAAACCTATAGATCTAGAATCTAGATCTAGAGTCTTGATGACTTTTTTTTTCTTATGTAACTACTGACACTGTCGACTAGATAATTAGATCTCTAGAATCTAGATCTAGATCTAGATCTAGATCTAGATCTAGATCTAGATAATCTAGATGTAGATCATTCTAGATCTAGTTTTCGGTCTACATTATCAAAACATGTTTTGGTTTTATGCTAGATCGACATTATTTTATAACTTGGCCTAGATCTAGAATTCAATTTTAAAATCTGTTGTCCTGTTTTCATCAACATGTGTAACCTTTTCTGTAGACCAGAAGAGTATAGAATTGTAATTGTAGAGGCATTGTTTACAAATGCAACCTTGGCCAGTTCTCTGATTGCGCTAGGCCTAAGCTGCAGAAAGCTAGGCCTAGGCCCCGCTAGACGCGACGCGCTTCGTTTCGATAAGGCCTAGGCTAGGCCTAGGCTAGACGCGACGCGCTTCGCTGTCGATACCGCGCCTGGTTATTTTTAGCTCGCGTCTCAGCGGTCACGTTCGCAAATGCACTGTTGTCACGGACCGCGAGACCTCGTTTCCTGTCTCTATATTTTAGAGTCTCTGGTAGAATTCTGTGAATGTGCTCTTCCGCTCTTCCGTTCTTTGGTGTTGAGAGATAATAATTTCTGACTTCCGGGATACATGCCTTGGCGTACCTTACAACAGCGGCGAAGGAAAAATAATAATCGCAGGCTTATAAGATCTGTTAATAATTACACTGTATTACAATTACAAAATTGGTAAGTATAGATCTAGTATTTTGTTGTTTTTTATCTGCTAATATTTGTAAAAGATGTTATAATATAATACAAATATACGAGGCTGAGGCTTGTTTATTGTTTGTAAGTGAATATATGACCACCACGTCCACTGACAACAACAGTCAACAACAAGCCTTACATTACAAGCAGCTGACTCACCAGTCAGTCACTCACAGTTCAGTAGAGTAGTTGGCTACAAATAACAACAGTACAGAAAACAAGTCCACAGCTGTGATAGGGCAAAACTGAGATCCATACCACACTTTGCACCATACCACAGGCCACAGTTACATCTTAATTTTCTTGTCATGCTTCTACTTCTGTGCTGAGATTCGAATCTTATCAACAACCGATTACATGGGGGGTTCCGGGCAGGCCGCGGGGTCACTCAGTGTGTACTGTTAGTGTACAGCAAGCGTGCCTGGAAACGTGTGTTTTCGCCATGAATACCGTGGGGGTATGTTAATCAATGATGAAAATAACGCTCTATCTTTATTCTTTTAGGCCTAGGCTATAGCTTTCGGTTTATAAAGTGTTACGAACACATATATAATAACCCCATCTCGGAAGCTGATAAGACATTACGAGTAGTTACACCCATTCGAATTTATAATCTTTTTAGACGCTCTTGTTGTTTTGAATGACCTGGGGTTCGAAAGGGGATAGTTAATATAGGTCAATTTCCAAATGTTTTGCCCTCAAATAGTTCTTTTTACCTGCGCAATGGTACTCAAAACTATTAAACAAGCTTTTATATTTCTTATCAGGTAGTATCATTTCATACAAACAAAATCAAGCTCATTTGAAAGATTATAGTACAGAGAGAAAAATGGAAGTCTTGTTTCCTGACTATCTTTTCAAGCTCCTCATGTCATAGTGGGTCAATTTGTTCTGTAATTTCATTGGAAGAACATCTAGAGCTACCAACTTGGCGTGTTTTGAATGAGACGTATGCCTCGATTACGAGCCAATGCAGGCGGTTCTTGAAGAAGGTCACAAACTCAAGCAGACTGACACACACATACTTTCAGCTGCGTGAATGCGGATCCGACGCAGCACCCGAATTGAACGGGAGATGTTGCTCGGCGCATGTGCACTGATCCAGGGGCCTGACTGATGTAGGGCCAGAACGCAGGCGAAGTGCCGAAATAGGCTTATCGGGCGACATATAAACACGGCCACTCGCAGGACAAGGTTTAAAAACCGCGATAATTCTAATATTTATAATAGGCCACCTCTATTCTCACTCAGGGTGGGAATAGTGCAGGCGGGCCTTTTGGCTATTCTCTCCAGGTGTGACTTCATCATGATAGGCCAACCAGTGTAGCGTTCACCGTGAACAAACGTTCCAGCGCTCTTGTGTTTAAAGCGTGCAATTTTGTCTGTGGGCAGTGCAAATGGGGCAGTGAGAGAGAAAGAGGGGGGGGGGGGGAGAGAGAAAGAAGTAGCA